CGTCAAAGTGTGGTTAAGTGTGTGTGGAAGGTATGACCCATATCATAGTCTCATTTGGTCACTAAACCGTAAACAAGAAACAAAACAAACCACTTTCATGAACGAAGACACTTCACATTGTTTACATGTTTCACGAGCGTGTTCCGTTTCAGCTTGATGTTCCGGTCGTTAACTAGCGGTTACATGCAAGAGCTATCCAGTTGCTGAACCAACAACATTCTTTTTGGACTTTTCGGCAAATGATAAAAAAACATCTTATGACGCACTTCTTTGTCGCTCATCTCTCTCACTTTTTAGAGAGGATATTATGGAGACGCAAAAACATTTCTAAGTTTTGATAAGAGCCATAATAGGACTCTTGGTTTTGAGGTTGAGTACGAAATGCTGTTATGAGGCTGATCCAAATGAAGTCTTCAACAACATATTTGCCACTTTAAAAATTTGTGTGTTAATGTCAGTTTTATAAAATTGAATTGGGATTTTTTGTGGACTTTTGATTTGGAAAACTTGTTGTTGCCACAACATCATATTTAGCAGAGGAGACTGGTTAGGAAAGCCGGCAAACATCAAGTTGAAAACAATGGTGCTGTAGTTTATGTTGGAAGCTCCCTGACCGTGCACAATCCTTTGCTTTTTGTTCACAAATTGTGACTGAATAAATCAATGCGATATTTCTATTGGCCAGTAAGTTCAAAATGATGGGAATGCTATTGAACACTGATTGAACGTTGTGCACGGTCAGGTCTACAACTTGAGCTAACAAAAACATATAACAAAAGAGTCTAACGGGTTTCATAACTCTTCCACTTTAAATAACTATGCACAACATCGCTGAAACCAGTACCTAACCGCTTTCTATTGTAGCCCGGTCCAGCGCGTGAAGCCTTAGCTTAGCTACCCACAAGTCATATCAGTTTTCAGAATACATACAATGTCCTACAAAAGAACTACCTAAGAAGTTCCAATTGAATGATCATAACAACGAACGTTCATCTAAAAACTCAAAAGCACGGCTGAGCTCTAGAAGTATATTCCTTGTCTCTATAATTTTGATCATGTTTAATTGGCCTTGAAAATGAAATCGAAAGCGATGAAGCAATTTGTGTTTAATATGTTGAACTCCCCTAATTGGTTTGTTATTTCATCATCCCTTGATCATTGAACCACTACGACCGAAAAGTTACATTTCCAAGCTTTTCGTTTTCTTCTCTGATAAGCGCAATCAGATTTTCCGTTCTCGGTAGCCGGCTGTTTCAACCTCCCACCTAATGTGTAGGATGCCCCCGAAAGGACTTCACAGCGGAACGGCGGGGTATCCCTCATGTTTTTTATCGGTAGTATAGGTTTCCCTCTGTTATCGGTGACAACAATCTTAACGTGTTAACGGGGTGGTATTAAGAATTAGTTTTTTTCGTAAAACGGCATATCATATCAAGCAAAATCCTTCTTGAAAAGGTCCGAATATGGAGGCGTGAATATCGCTTGACCACTCATCTCCTCCACCTCCTCCCCCCTCCTATTCCACTGTGTGTCTTAAGAACGTAAAAAGTGCCGATCTACAAACTTAATTCGTAATTTCGTAACTTTTGGGTACCCAGATCTCACTAGCGTCGTTCAGTAGGTTTCGAAACGAGAGGCTCTAAGATAAGACCAGACGGAATTCGAAGAAATAACTCTCAGTTACAATTTGACTAGAGGTGTCCCTAAACATCACTACCACCCCGGCCCCTCTTGCTCCTCAGTAAGTCGTCTTTCTCCACCCAGCTCCTATGTTTATTGAGGACACAGCGTGACTGGAGACATGGGTTAGTTTTTTGTTTAATTACTAAACATAAGGTGTTATATGACTTCAGTTAATTCGTTCTATTAAATCTTGTTATCACCAACACCCCAGTATTAATCAAGTATTTTAATCTTCTTTCAATTATTTTTTGTCATGTTAAAAAGGAAAGTGGAAAAAAATTAAAAACACTGAATTAAAAAAGAGATGCAATAGTAATTAATAACAGTTTCTTTACTAAAGTACGAAGAAGAGGCTTTAAGTCCAGTATGAAATGCAAATTTTTCAAAATTGACCTTCACTAATAAGAGCATGCAGAACGGTATTACCCTTTGGATGTTTGAAATCATTTGAAACATTTGACCTTAAAGTTGCGCATTAGTTTCTTTCTATGGATGGTGCATTTGTTTTGGCTTCAAACAAAAAACTGTTTTCATTACACTTTATTCATTAGGACAAAGCATGACAAATGAGCATTCCGTGGTTTCACCGCCCATTTCCTACGTAATTCGGTAATAAGTTCGGTGGATGAAGTCACGCATGGTTCATTTATTACATGACTTTCGATAATTACTTTTGATCTACTAATATTCCGTATCACTCACGACATCCCCACGAATAAGCACGTCTTTTGTGCAAAAATGGATCAAGAAAGAAATCGTCAGTTTTCTACCGGCCAAATGAAGATAGCGGCGAAGAGAAGCTTCATACGCGTGNCCCCTCTTGCTCCTCAGTAAGTCGTCTTTCTCCACCCAGCTCCTATGTTTATTGAGGACACAGCGTGACTGGAGACATGGGTTAGTTTTTTGTTTAATTACTAAACATAAGGTGTTATATGACTTCAGTTAATTCGTTCTATTAAATCTTGTTATCACCAACACCCCAGTATTAATCAAGTATTTTAATCTTCTTTCAATTATTTTTTGTCATGTTAAAAAGGAAAGTGGAAAAAAATTAAAAACACTGAATTAAAAAAGAGATGCAATAGTAATTAATAACAGTTTCTTTACTAAAGTACGAAGAAGAGGCTTTAAGTCCAGTATGAAATGCAAATTTTTCAAAATTGACCTTCACTAATAAGAGCATGCAGAACGGTATTACCCTTTGGATGTTTGAAATCATTTGAAACATTTGACCTTAAAGTTGCGCATTAGTTTCTTTCTATGGATGGTGCATTTGTTTTGGCTTCAAACAAAAAACTGTTTTCATTACACTTTATTCATTAGGACAAAGCATGACAAATGAGCATTCCGTGGTTTCACCGCCCATTTCCTACGTAATTCGGTAATAAGTTCGGTGGATGAAGTCACGCATGGTTCATTTATTACATGACTTTCGATAATTACTTTTGATCTACTAATATTCCGTATCACTCACGACATCCCCACGAATAAGCACGTCTTTTGTGCAAAAATGGATCAAGAAAGAAATCGTCAGTTTTCTACCGGCCAAATGAAGATAGCGGCGAAGAGAAGCTTCATACGCGTGCCAGGATTTGGCAATTCTTCTGACCACAACTATGAGTCAACGGTCGTGAGCCAATTCCATTCACAAGAATGTCCCGTGGCCAGGGTCACAAAAAGTGACGTACAAGTCGACTACGTTCCTGAAGACTTGAAGGTACCTGTTAATTCAGCCAGCGCTTTAAACTTGAAGTCATCGCCAATGAAATCATTGACAAAACGACATATACCAATCAAAGATTTTGCCAAAGGGTCACGGATCAATGGGAGAACATTTAGTAGAGATATTGAAGCCGGCACCGCGGAAAGGCGTCGACTTACTCCCGAAAAAGACGCTAAAGAGCAGCGCTTTTTGAACGAAAAATTTCCGATATCCAGCAGACGAATGTCTTGTCCTGATGGCTCTTTAAAAGAACGATTTGGAGCTTTCTCAAGAACTAGCACTGCGAAAGGGATGGCGAGGTCCAAGCGGAAATTACACCTCACGGTGCGAATGAAAAACTACTTCGACGCTGAAGCCGACGAATCACGCGATTCTTTGCCAAAAATTAACGAATCACTGGGAAGATCTAATACTGATGAAAATCAATTGCTTTTACTTGTTGGAAAAAATTTTGAAAAGAAAACACAGAAATCGCCGCCGCCAAGAGCGTTTGACATAGAAAAATCTACGGATGGAATTCACCTTGGATTTCTCGAGTCTAAACTATCAAGTGTTATCCCATCGCCAACTTCGGAATCGGAGGGTAATAATCAAGGACAAGAAAAAACATTGAATGATAAAAGCAAGATCATCGAAATCACTTTCGACAACAAACAACATGATATTGCTCCTTCAAAATTTATAAATTTATCAACCCGAAATAATACCAAATCGTCAGGAAAAATAAAACAAAGTATGGATATTGATCTTATACGTCTGAGCGTGGGTCAAGCGGAAATGACGAGAGGACCTCAGTCACGAAGGCAGGTAACACAAAGAAAAGGAAGGGCAAGTCCACGGCCAAGAAGAGTCAACTTCACACCAAATAGCATGAACGGCGAACTTTCTCAGGAAACGCTTTTAACTACAACCTCGGAGCAAGATATAGACCGCAAGGTCCAGGCTTTCTTAAGAAGCCAGCAGCCAATGGCGAGCCCAGAGACATTAAAGGTAAAGGTTTCTAAGAAGTCTAAGTCATTTCTGCCGAATTACACTCTGCAAGAGAGGCGGTACACGCCCCGAGTTTGTATTAACACTGATACGTGTCCATCAACTTCAAATCTCATCAATCAAGACCGTTCATGGTACTATCAAGACAGAACAGGCAAATGTCGGTATTTAAGGGTGCCTGAGTCACCGATTCCACCTGTAGAATGGATTTTCCAACACGAAGATGAATAATAAGAGGCCGTGTTTGAAGTGTATATTTGTGGCTCCCTTACGGTAACTGCTACAGGGTCTGGATCCGTCTGTGAACACCCATACAGTATTCAAACAATTCTTTTGAATTTTTACTTAATAGTTAGCAATAACATGAAGTAAGTTACTCCAAATAAAAACTGTGAATGTTTTCACATGTTATGATATTATTCCCGTAACCTCGTACGGCCATGTACGGTACACGTTTTAGCTACCCAAAAGTAGCGTCCTCCCGGAAGTAGCTATAGGAAAAGGCTGTTAAACCGAAAGTAGCGAGGGTGGTTACTTTCGAAACGCTTCCGTATGGTGAAGTGATATCAATGAACTATATAATTCCCCCAATACTCAACGCAAAGATTGCCTCCTTTGTCCCAGGAGAGCAGTCAATGCATAAAGTGCCGAGCTTATTCCAAAGTTATAATTTAAGAGAGAAAGTTGTTACTCGAGTTTCTCGCACAAGGAGAACATCAGACTGAAAGTAGCGTTTATGAGTGTTGTGTTTTACTCGACATACTGTACTTTAGCCAATCAGAAGGTACGTGAGACATTCTTCGCCGATTTAAATTCAGTATTAACCCTCGGACGTACACGCAAATTCAAACTCCCACCGTGGTACAAGGGGGGGGGGGAGTGGATATGGAACCCCTCCCCGGAGTTTTTGATATGTTGTAGTGTCAATTTTATTGGTGTTGGCGCTGCTGGAGGCCTGTGACGTCACCAACAATGGTCGCCATCTTGGATTTTCCCAAGAATTAATAATCAGGTTAAAACCGCGATAAATAGCAATTTTTTGTGCTTTACATGAAAAATAACACATAAATACGCACTCAACATGATTTTAGCCACAAGATGTACTTTTATTGTTGAAAGAAGTTGAAAAAACACGTATTTTAACCCAAAAATGGCTTGACCCTGACCTGCTACGTATGACGTCATATCTCGTAACCATAGTAACTTACCATCACTGAACTTGTCTCAAAAAGTGCGCAGGGATGAACGAACAGGTACTGAAAACGTCAGGTGCTTATGTGTTATCCTCCAGGAAAAAACTCAGAAAAACCTTACGGGGGGTGGCATCCACCCCACCCCCCTGTACTTCCGAGGGTTAATCCGAAGTACTCCGGCTAGCAGGGTATTGTCGTGATGCACCTCAGCATAATCTACGTGTATTTATTAAGCCCGTTCCATGAAAACGTTTCCAGCTGGTGAAAGGTTTTTGGACTGGTTATTTTAATCTATAAAACGTATTACCACGTAGCATTACTGTTATTTGCATTTTTTCTAAGGTTTAGAGAGAAAATAAACGACTATTTCCAAGCATGGACCTGTTTAGTTTTTCGAACTTGAACTGACTTAATCTGCGTTTCTTGCCTCTTGTCGCCGGTTCAGTTATTCCTTTTTTTCTTACTTAAATAAAATTCCCTATATGTCTGGTCGTACTTCTACTGAAATTAGAGTAGTCTATATTTAGTCATACGTAGGAATCAAATTGAAGACACCCCGTACAATCGACCATGACAAGATGTGGCAATATTTTAATACCTCTGCGAATCTTTACATCACCAGACGAGCAAATCTTATTACTATATCATCGGTCAGTTATCATCCATCGCAGGTTCGAGTAGTCGCACTGGAAAGGGTCCATCATCAACCCGGTTAGCTCAGTTGGTATTAAACGTGAACCGCGGGCTTTTTCAACACGCTACTAGACGCGACAAAAGAGAAAAATGTGGCTAAATTTTTATCAAATAATTCCAGTAAAATTCTTTAGTCCAGTGGAGGAATGTGGCGTTCATTAATTTGAAAAACGTCAAAACAGTGAATCAAAACGCTGATCTTTTGGCCTGTTCATAGGCTAGTTAGGTTCCAAATTTGAAGGTGTTGCGGTAAAACATTGTCAATGAAAGTTTGAGAAATTATTCTGCATATCGTAGACAACTTAATTGTGGTGAGTTTTTTAAAGAATTCTACCTAGCCGAGAGGAATTCTACCTAGAGAAGCGTAAAATAAAGTCTGATTTCTGAAACTGACTATTGGGCGGTTTGGTGTGTGTGGGATTGGTCGCTTTTATCCAGTGAAAATTTAAAAAAGACGCATTGTTCAAAATCTGTCCTGGTATTTGATAATGAATAACTAATAAAACATTAATTTTATATAGCGCCAGTATCCTTAAAGTTCAAAAGTGCTTTAGAAAGCAATAAAAATAGTAAAAAGTTATGAAAAATCTTTAAATCTTAAGACTAAAATAAAAATGGATAAAACTTCATAAAAATGCCTTTCTGAAAAGGGAAGGTTTAACTCTGACGATCATTTGGTTAAGTTTACGCTTCACGATTAAGTGGCTAGCCAATACATTACAAATTATGAATTATAGAGATAAAATCAATTTCTGAATTAGAAATGCAATTTAACTATAAATTAACTTGACCAGATCAAACGAAAAAGGTAAATAGGACAAGACATTTCTTTAATTCACATACAAAATTACTTTGAATAAATTACCAATTAAAATAGATATAAAATTAATTTCATCTATATCTCTCCGACCTGGACATGACACCTACTAAGCAAAAGTTTCAGCCATGATGTTGTTTGCTATATTGAAAATGGTGAATTAAGCTTTCGACGGTGACGATCTGCAGATGAATTCCTGAAATGTAACCATTCGAATACAATTCGATACAATCATCTGGATAGTACTGTCTTTTGTGTGGTAAGAGTTGAAATGAACTTTTATTTTATGCACCCAGTACACTGAAAACCTCGCAAGCTAAAAGTAACAGCCTAAAGTAGTTTTTAAGACCCTGTTAGCCTAGAATTTGCCAGTTAGACCCCCTTGATATTAACCAAATCTGTTTACACTAAAATTTGACAGAGGTTCTTATTTTCTAGTGAAAAACCCAATTTCAATTATATAGTTGAGTTAAATGCTATAAAGATAGTACAATGCTATTTGACATCATAATTGTTATTTGCTGCGGTTCTAAGAATAGCAGCAAATTAATGTTTTCACGGTTCCAGCTTATTGACAGCTGTCACGGAGACTCAGGTATTAAAGGGCGGATTTTACTGAGGTGATCATTCTAAGCTGACATCGCTGCCTGAGTTTCGTTTGTCAATGCTTTTTTTCTTTTTGTGTCATTTAAATTGATTGTCGTTGGTCGTTGATGTACTCATAATTTTGTATTCTAGTTCAAACTCTCTCCCTCGAGGTTCATGTTAAGTGTCTGGCTCTGCTTTCGGGAGGGTTCAAGTTTCCTCCTTAGCTAAGGGGATTTTTCATGACGGGCAGCAGACCCGATATCATCTTTATCACAGAACTTAACTTAGAACTTGTTACATTTTTTCTACTTCACTGTCTTCGCAGTACCAAAGTGTTTGTATTTGTATGAATAAACGGGGAATGATGTTTGCATTACGCTGGGCTTCTATCCAGTGCAGCAGTCAGTTTTCCTATTTTACACGGCGTGATTTCATTGTTTTCACTGTTCACCGTTTCAACAATAGGGAATAGGAAATGAGGAAAACCTGTCAGAGCTGAGCACCGAGGTGGCTGATGGAAATGAACTAAAAAAAAATTCGATTCAGGCATCAATAATTTATGATTTCTTTTGTTTATACCCCTCAGCCTCGGAGTCAAGTACGAAATTTGGTAATTCGGAACTGGCCTATTTATTGGAAAAAGCGTGAAACAGTGCCGTTTTTACTCTAATAAGCGACACGGCGCTTATGAAATGTTTCACGCCTCCATTGCGGCGCTTGTTCAAGGGCGACGTTTATATATGTGAAAGTTGGACGAGACAAATGATTGTATTTACCACGGAAGAACTAACAGAATTAACGTCAGTTGATTTTGATTTTATAAGGGCCGCTGCGCTCATTTGAGGGGCGGCTTTTACTAAATTTTCCTCCCAAATGCGGCGCTTATTGGAGGGCAGCTCTTAATCGGAGGCGGCGCTTATTCGTGTAAATACGGTATATGTTAAACGTTTGTTATGTTAGGAAGGAGGACCTGATGAGATCACGATAAGATTCATGGGATTCGACTCTTAGCCCCAGTCGCCCCTCATGTTTGAATAGGAAGCTTAAGAAACGACGACAGCGAAGTAAACGAGAACGGCAAAAATCAATAGGTTTAGAAGGGCAAAGCAACAGCCCGCGCGTGCATCACGCATTTCTGTACATTTTCTTTGCCGTCGCTGCACGACTACGACGAGAAAATGCCAAATTTTACGTTTTGTGGAGGACTTGAACACAAGACAACGACTTTCTTTTTCTTTTCCTGAACTTTAATACAGTCTTTTAGAATTCAACTTCATATAACATTGCCAAAGTTTGATGAATTGAACGAGATGGACTAAGTGCGATTAAGTTTGAAGCAGCGCGGGGACTTCACATTGTAAGTGACGTTTTCGTTGCCGTCGCCGTCATTGGCGTTTAAGCTCCCTAACTAGAGAGTATCACAACTTTTGCTGTCATCCAATAATTGATATTATAGCCTTTTTGAGCAAGACGTTTTTATCATTTATTTATTTAAATTTGTTATAATGATTCGCCTTTAAACATACACTTTGATACATGAGGAAAGGAGAAGAAAAATGTATTTTTATACCTCTACAATGAAGAAATCTCCTAACTTTAACATGCATGCACTGTTTAAAAAAAGAATATAAGAAGAGAATAGAATAAAAAAAATAAAAGGGCGATTTAGTATCGATGTACACCTCGTAGGTGGACATCGAGATTTTATAGTTAATTTAGCTAACTAATGAAAAGTAAAAGCCCCTTATAAAGTATTAAGAATCTCTTAGCGTTTTCTCACTGATTTTTTTTAAATTTCAGCCATATTGGAAAAGCACCAGATTTTATATTTTAATGGTCTTAATGGTGTAACTAATCTAAGGGGGCTACGTCACAGGTCACTGAATTATGAGGCATATAAATTGGCTTTTATGGTGCCGGTCTGAGTTTTATCTCCGCGAATTTTAGTGAAAGATCATTGCTCTTGAAGTGATACCACGTGACACCTCTGCCATCAATTGTATCTCCCAAGAGGGTCAGCATTAGGTCCCTTGGTCCGTAGCCCCTTTCTCACCTTATGAAATTTACTCGAGGCAGAACTGTCTTCTGCTTTTATATTACTCTTAGATGATATTTCAAGCAAGAAATGTTCATTAAAGTGCAAGTCTCTTCAATTTGAAAAGCACAAAAATTGACATGAAGAGCGGTAGGACTTAAACCTACGACCTAGAAAACCTAGTATACCACGCTGACCACTAGACCACTGCTGATTTGATAAATGGAGAGGAAATAATTTAACTACATATAGCATCAACCCCAACCCAAAAAAAGAACGTAACCAGTTTGGAAACAGTGGTAAACCCTAATCAGTAAAAGCAGTGCTTAACCCTAATCTGTAAAAGGCAATGCTTAACCCTAATACATAACGAGGAAAACTACGTTGCGTAAACTTCATGACGTGTCCGAAGGGGCTACGGTCGATGGGATCTAATGATAACCTCCCAAGAGTGGTAGCAAGCGCCGTACCACTAGGCACCAGTGAAGGAAACGGCACAATAACTACTGTATCTGTCATTATCTCTGTCGTTAGTGCTAAAAGCCATGTAATTTTGCTCTGAAATTAATGAATCTCCTGCCGTCCCTGAATATGAATCCACTTTAGGTCGATGCTGCACCTGCTCATCACCAATGTTGAACTTGCCATTTAGCAAGTGTTCTCTCACCTTCCAAATTCTCCACTTACACTCGCAGAGAACTGGGTCTAGCGGCCGTCAGCCTGTGGATCTTATCGTTTCCTAACCAGAACACAGCATTCAGCTGACCAAGGTCTGATTTGTAATCGTTCCACCCCCGATAGAAGTCCACCGAGCCCTCTTGTCTTCTCTGAAGCACATTCCACCCTCCACCATCAGTGCTCATGTCACAGTATACATTGAAGGATCCTTTGCCGTCTGGGTTCATAGGATTGGCCGTTACACTTTTCATATTACGCGCTTTAGGGTTTATCTATAACTGATCTCTTTTAAGTTCATATTAAGAGAGGATAAAGGGGACAGAGAAGGCATCCCCCATACACACCTATTCCATAGGTAATTCGTCTTCAGTTATTTTTAGGATCGGGATAAAGTTACCTCGCGCGCTGCGTGGATGTTTCGGGGAGGTTTCGCATGACGAAAAACGCCGTGCAAAACATGTCGGGCGAAAGGCAATGAAAGCGTAAAGAGATCGAGAGCATTCCTGAATATTGAACCGAAATGAGTCGGCGCCCACCTGGGAAAAGGGAATCGCTCCATCTGCTCTTCCGAAAGACTCTTGTTCCGTTTATTGAATTTCTTCGGCGCCCTTTTCCTTGATTTGGTGACGGTCGAACTCGAAGGCGCAGGTTTAGGCTTCCCTGCACTTTTCCTCGCTTTATCTGCTGAACTATCATCGGAATAGGAGCTTTCTTTGTTTTCTTGTATTTCATTGGCACTCTCCGTTTCGGTTACAGCTTCCTCCTCGCTTGCACTGACTTTTTCATCTTCTTCGCTAGAACTCTCAGCTAGAAACAAGCCAGGAAGGGCGATTCTTTTTTAATTTCCGTTTTGCTGACACAGCTTTAGCAAAAATCTCTCTGTAGTCGTTTTCGTCGACAAAACGAATAGCAATATCGCTCTCTGCGTCTTCCGCCATTTTGTTCTGCGTTAATTCGTGAAGGACGCGTGGCTCTGAGCGTGGGTCATCCACGCGGAACACATTCGCGCTATGTTATTGGCTGTTGTCTAATCCCCCATGGGATCTGTGGTCTTAAAAATAACTCGAGACAAATTACCTATGGAGTAGGGTATGTATGGGGGATGCCTAGTTCTCTGTCCCCTTTATCCTGTCTTGGATTATGTTTAACCTGAACGTAAGTCAGAGTTTTCACGCCAAATACTACTGCGCTAGTCGCGGCACAAATGTAATAGCCTGTATCGTTATCTGTAATACCTCTAATCACCAACGCACCATCAATCTGGTGGCTCCTTCCAACTGGCAGATGACCTTCTTGTTTTCTCCAGCTAATAACTGGCTGCAGGCCACCAGTTACGCTACAATTAAGGGTCAAGGTGTCTCCATGCCTCGCAAACATGATCCAAGGTGGCTGTACATTAAATCGAAGATGAGAAACGATTACTGCGAGTGTCTTCATTTCAAAACTTCCAAGCAGGTTTGTTGCAGAACAGATATACCAGTCGTAATCTATTTCTCGAGCATTTAAAAGTTGTAAGTTGCTGTTGTTATACTTCACCCTCTCCTGGGGTAACTGACCGGACGCCTTTCTCCAAATGACCACTGGGGCTGGGTAACCCGTCACGTGACAGCGGGGAAGGGTGACCTTGCTGCCTTCAATGGCGTAATGAGGCCCCGGATGGAGGGAAACTCTCGGATAAACTGCAAGAATGCAAAGAAATCAACGGTTGTTTTTTGATAGAACGCCGTTTTGTCAAGTTTTGAATGAAAAGAGGAGTTTAAAGTGTTGGGATAGTGTGACGAAGTTTGAACATATACTCTTATTCTGTAGGTCGAATTTAGAAGTATGGCGAACGCACACTTTCCATTTTTCTGCGTTTTCGGTAACTCGGTGGTAGAAAATCTGGACTTCAAGTAACAAGAAGGTCACAGGATCGAATGTAATATTGTTAGTTCGGGTGGCCACTATTTGAAACTGACATAGCATTCTTTCTATCCAAGGTTTTTGCGATAACTGCCGCTATTCTGTTTCGTTTGGGAAACTGTTTTGTTATTACTGTTTGCCGCATGATCTTAGAAGTTTATAGCCGAAAACAAGGAATCTAGACTTGAAAGAAAGAGAAAAGTGAACTGTCAAGTCCAAGTGAATGACGCGATTGGAGTGCGTCATCATTTGCTGCGAACCTTTGTTAAACAATATTTTATATAAAACCTCACCATTTACAACAAGCTGGACCAGTGTTTGCGCATGTCCTATGATGTTTGTAGCGGAGCACTGATATTCACCCGAGTCACTTGCTTTTACATTCTTTAAAAGCAATCTCCCTCTCGAAACCGCTGGCTTGCTTACTGCAGAAAGGTTACGTTTTTTACTCCACACTATCGCAGGCTCAGGATTACCCTTCACTGAACACTGAAATGAAGCTGTTCCACTTTCGTTAACGGTCAGCTTTGCAGGAGAAACTGAAACAACTGGAGTTGAAATCGATTCACCAGGCTCTCCTTTGGTTCCTGGCGTGCCAGTAGGCCCTCTGTCTCCTTTTTGCCCTTTGATTCCTAAGTCTCCTTTGGGCCCTGCTGTTCCCATGATGCCTTGCTTACCGCTTTTTCCTCGTGATCCTCGTGTTCCCTTCTTCCCTTTTCGTCCTCGGTCTCCCTTCTCTCCTCTCTGCCCTGGTGGACCGGGAGGGCCTGGGAGACCTGAAAGACACTCGACTTTTGTTGATTTGCAAAGTCGCTGTCTCCCCTCCGATAAAAGTTTGTGAATTTCTTTAATCATGACGGCTGTTGTTTTAGCTTTGCTGGTATTGTTAGGTGAATTCGCTTGTCGTCTGGCTCGATGATATTTATAGGTGTAAAATTCTGCCAATTAAAAATAGGAATCTTTCATTATATTGTTCGCTCTATCAAGATTTAATGATGAGGAAATGAATAATGCAAAAAATTATATTTTAAGATCATGGTTTCTTTTACCAGTTACTGCCTTAGAGCATTAATTTGGCGTTCTATTTTTAATTAGTATAAAGGCTAGTCAGCATTTGATGTGCAAAACGCAATGACTGAGTTACGGCAGTTAGGTTGCGGGCTAAAGTATGAAGTCAAATGGTGGACAAAATATTCGTCTAGTCGTTTCGTTGTCGGTTTCGTCGTTTCTTTGTGTCACTTTGTTGCTTCGTTCCGTCGTCTCGTCCTCCAATTTTCTTAATTTCGCCATTTCCTAGTGTCACTTCGTTACATCGTTCCGTTGTCTCGTCGCCCCGGCGTCGTCGTTTCCTTGTTTCGATTTGTCACTCGACTCGTCCTTTCGTCCCTTCGATGTTTCGTTTCGTTGTGACTAGAATGGATACCTCAAAATAAGATTGGAGACCTTATGTTTATTACACAACGCTATGCTCTCCACCACGCTACACTATCTTTAGGCAAATTTACTGCATGGACACGAGAACTTTTAGAAAAGTGGTCGTGAAATCAGAGTAACAGACAGTTGTGCAAGGAAAATAGTTGAATACAGAGTTAAGCACCGAAGTACAGTGATCAGGGTTAAGCACTGTGTTAAAAACGGTTAGCTTTCAATAATGTAATAATCAACGCCATGTAAATTACGCTAAAATTAACCGGTCTTGGCAGTTAGCCCTTGGTGGTGTAGTGGATACGGATATGGATTATACCTCAAATGACGCTGGTTCAAATCCTACATACTATCTACTGTTTTCCTCTGTTTTCTTTCTTCTCTCATTTACTACTTAAAGTTATAAGACTCCTATCATGTATTTTGAGTGAAGATAACATTCTCTTCATCGTTTCATTTCGTCTTTTTGACCGCGCTAGCCTGGGAACGTGAAACGTCATCGAAATTAAGAAAGTTGGTGGACGAGACGACCGAGCGAAGCAACGAAGTGACACCAATAAACGAAGAAACAACCAAACGACAACACGAAACAAAGAGTCGAACGTTTTGTCCAGGATTTGACTACATACTAAAGTGACTCCATTCACCATTAATGGGCTTCTGACCATTTTAACACTTGGCATAATACATCCTGTTTACCGTTCCGCCCGCCCGGGGCATGGAAGAATAAGTCACGTACGGCTTGTCACCAAAAAGGAAACGAATTGACTTCCGTGTATAATAAATTAGCTAGTAAGTCTCAAGGCTCTGATAGGAGACAGTTCAGAATTCATAGAAGAAATATACGATGTACAAACCACGAGCATCCTTGATGAACTTGACGATGTTTGGATTGCTGGAGGATGGTTTTGGCTCCGGGTTGTTTTCAAGTGCGTTCAATCTTTTCTTCTGATTGCTCAACTCTAATTCAACTCTTAGAAACCCAATGCAGTACAGAAGAATACCTAGCGCAGAGACGGTGGTAGCAAAACAAGGAAGGTGTTGTTTTTGACTCGTCATTTTCATGCGAGTTTCATTGAGTCCGCGTTCATCTGAGGACTTGGTACGTGAGCTTGTTACTTGATACTCCCTGTTAATTATTTTGTCGTCACATTTAGAAGGCAAAGATCAAGTTGGTTTCGACAGGAATTCGTCTGTCATGTTGCTTCGGGTTCTCTCCCCTCCGTCCGTAGAGGCTCCCGCTGGGAATCCCTATAAAATTAGCAATAATCGAAAAAAAAGAAAGCGAGCGGGGGACCGAGGAAAGAGGGAAAAGGCGGGAGCCTCTGCTGCCATACAACGCATTCTCTCTTCCCATCGTTTCGCGTGCGCCCTATTTTTCTTTCTCCCCAGTCTCCCCACAACACAAAGAGGCCTCTGCGGAGGAGAGAGCTTCGGGTTTGCTTGCTGTTTGTTTTCTAATATAAGGGGGTCATAAGGCTGGATGCACTATTATTAGCTCTGCAAAGAGTTCATTTTTTTTCAGGATATTGGGAGTATTGGCCTCAAGGAATTCTACGTTCTAGCCTGCGTGGCAGGCGCAAAAAGGGGAAGGGGAGCGGGAGTGGGGAGAGAAAAGCGCGAAGCGCAAGTCACGCTTGCATGGTTTTCCATACAAATCCTTGCAATTTCGAAATTTTCAAAACTTTCACGAAATACTTCCTTAAGCATTACGGGGCTCAAATCTCCTTTTAATTCATAACAGGCAATTTGAGCCCTTAAAGGGAAAGGGAAAGATTTAACGACAACTTAAAAATTTTAGAGTTTAAAACCATGCAAGCGTGACTGGGTGGCGAAAGTTGTTTTTCTCATACAAATGCTTCAAACTTTCGGCGGCCGTTACAATCGTTACTTTTGAGATACACGGCTGAAAATTCTCAGGTTACTTAATTTAAATATGCTCTTTTAGCTTGTGCTAACAAAATTTTTCTAAAGTGAACTGTTTTCGTGTTTACCGAAAGTTGATCACGTGATCAAGTCATGAAAAGAGCCTGTCACCAAATTTTTTGGGATGGATAGGTTTAGGTGGTGCTCCGCTGCGCGCGCGAGAGCTCCGATAAAATGTATGGGGAAACAAACCCCGATAAAGCGAATTCTCGTTCGAGCATTTTTTGCCAATACCTGTGGTACTTGTTATATCGAGTTTACTGCCGTCTGGTCCCTTCTCATGGTCCCTTGTAGCTCATCACCAGTCGCTCGCCTCTACCTTGCGAAAAACGAAGGGCCTGAGGAGGAGGCTGGCATTAGTATAAGATGGTTCTCTCAGTCTATGTTCACACTATACCGGATGGCTCTTGCGCCGATACGAAAACATGCATTCCGGATAGGACTTCTGCTTACACACGAGAACGATGATTTCAGCGCAATTTCTGTAACAGTGCGAAGCTGCGCCACGCTTATCTCAAAAGTGGGGCGGGAGTGGGGCGCCACATATCGGTAGTTAGGTTCTGTACCACACCTTGGTGCAACCGTAGCGGAAGTGAATAAGTAAGAGCGAGGACTGGAACCCAGTGAGACGAAAGTGAGTATGTAAGAGGACTGGGATTCAGTTCATCAACTGCTCCTGCACTTC